TCGTTCTCCTTTTTGTCTGATTTCTGCTTTTTGATGACCTGGAGAGACGATCCACAATGCATGTTACTGTTCCTACACTTCTCAGCTACCACTCAGTTTCATACATGCTTTTATTTACTCTGATGTACCTTATAGTAGAAATGAAGGGCAATGTTCTCCAAAAGCAGAATCAGTGGCAGGAAAACATATCTCAGGATTGGAGTTCTTGAATCTGTGGAAAGTGATCAAAAGTCACCCCACCCAGCCACAACCTTACTACATCACACACTCCAGACACACATGGTTTAGGAGGCGTGGCTCCATCTGACCAATATGGTGGCCACATTGCATCATCATCAGACTGAACAGCAGCCACTAACGAATTACCTACATTTAGATTTGTAAATCTTTGGATAGTCAAACAGTTGTGTAGTCACAGTTATATGATGTACAAATGTTGAGTTCTGTCATCTACTTACATATCACAGAAACATAAAACCTCCAGTCTTCAGGATAAGAAGTGAACGTTCCTGCTGACAGAGTTATCTCATACACACAGCTGTAGCTGCCCTCATGTTCAAAGTCAGCTACAGGGAAACTAAAGGAGGCTGAGTTGTTGACAGATGGCTTTGTGTGTTTGGTGCGTTTCATATTGGAGCCATAGAAGATGAGATTGAAAACTCCTCCAGGATAGTGTTCATTGTTTGTGCAGGTGAAGACGAAGCTGTAACCCTTGATGATCTCTGAACCATCAGGAACCCTGACCAGTCCTCCATCTGGAGATATCACAGAGATGTTGGGCTGCTGCAGGGACACTGAGAACAAAAGAAAGAACAAATAACAAAGCTATAGTAAGTAAAACAGGAACCACCTGGTAGCAGGAAGAAACTATACCACAGTTGGGATGTGAAGACAATTTACTTTCAGTGTGTGCATGTGACACATAATAGTAGGGGTGCAACAATACTCATATCGATATTGAACCATTCGATACAGTGCTTTCTGTTCGTACGCATATATATCGAACAATACAAAATTTTTTATTTATTTTATCAACTTCCTTTCTGACGATGCTGTCTGTGTTGAGCGCTCAGTGGATCTGTGCTCGACAGTGCAGCCTAGGCGGAGTAGTCGAACACAGATTCACTGAGCGCAGGGCAAGCTAGCGAGACAGAAGTTAAGCTCTCCTTGCAGCATGGCAAATTGAACCTCCCCCACCCTCATTCAGATCTGGCGTTTGGAACTATTTTGGTTTTC